CATTAAGCGTCTACCTTCGGCTGGGGTCATGATCCCAGTGTCCTGGGATCAAACCTGCATCAGGCTCCCTGCTCTGCAGGAAGCCCGCTTCTCCCTCTCCCATTCTTCCTGCTTGTGTTCCCTCCCTCTCTCGCTGTGTCTCTGTCAAATAAATAAAATCTTAAAAAAAAAGATATAAACCCAACATTCAAGGAAAAAAAAAATCAATCGGTGAGATCATCAATGACCACTACTTGCCAAATCCAATGATTAACTCCCAATTCTTATCTTAAATGAACAACCTTGAGCAACAAACTCCTTCACCTGGCTTCCAGGACTCCCTGTTCCTGGTTTTCCTTCAACCTCAACAGCTCCTCTCCCCTGTCTCCTTTACTGGATCCTCCTCTTCTCCTAATCTCTTCGGTGAAGTACCAGGAGCTGAGTCCCCAGACTTATTCCTCACCTTTATCCAATTCTTAGATGACAGCATCTAGCCTCCTGGCTCTAAAAGCTTTGGGTATGATGACAACCTCAAAACTGACATGTTCTAGTCCCATCTTCTCAATCTGACTGTTTAACCAAACGCCCATTTAACATTCGGGATCTCAATGTTTATATTTCCAAACCCAATTTCTTGACTTCCCTCTCAAACCTGCTCCCCTAACAGTATAAACAGGAAACAAATCCAATTGCTCAGGGTAAAAACCTTGAAGTCTTCACATATACACAACACCCAATCCATTGAAATTCCTGCTAGCTTTACCTTGAAAATAAACCTCCAATCTACTACCATTTAACACCTTCAATACTAGTCCATGGCACTTTTACCTCATTTATGAAATACAAATGCTTGTGCCTTGGCATCTCTACTTTCTCCATCACCCTCAAAGTGTGTTCTCTATTCAGAACGATCCTTTAAAATACAAATTAGACTATGTTATTCCTCTCCTAAGCTCCTCCAAATAGCTTCTCATGTCAGACTAAAATCTAATATTCTTATCATGGCCTACAGGCCTCTGTAACCTGCCATCTCCCCCATTTCCTCCTATCCTTCTACCTGTTCCCTAAGCTCCTCACTGGACCCCCTATGACACACCTCAAAAATATCTCTGGGTTATCACACTTTTGTTCTCTTTGCTTGGAAACCCCTTGGATATCCAAATGATTGCACTGTATTTCAATGAGGTTGTTTTCCCAAATGTCACCTCTAAGAGGCATTCTCTAATTGTCTCATACAAAATAGTACTTCCTTAATCCACAGCTCTTGATTTCTTTATTTTCATTCACATTTTAGCACAACCTAATATAGTTTATATTTATCTTTGCTTACTGTCTGTAATCCAAGCTGCCCCATCCCCCCCAACCAGAAGGTAAGCTTCAAGATGGTAGATACTTTGCTAGTCAGCTTTATTTACTCTGTATCTTCAAGAGCTGACACAGTAAATGCACTCAATGAACAATGACTCAATGAATTCAAAGGCCCAGAAGTTAGAAAACTGACGTTTCAAGAAATCAAATAAATACAGAATGATTCCATCTATGGGTACAGTGTGGCATGTGTATGTATGTGTGTGTGCTTTATGTTTGCGGGGAGAGTGAAAAATGAAGCCTGAAAGATAACCTATGGCAAATCATGAAGTAATTGTAAAGCCATGTTAAAGAATTCTCCATTCTCCTCTTGGAGTGAGAAGGAACCAACAAGAGGCTTTTTTAAGCACGGAAAGGTTATGAATAGACTGCAATGTTTGTGAGGTCCCAAACTGCAAGCGTGGATTCTGGCTGTGGGGTTTTGGGTAACTCTAGCTTGAAGTACAAGTAAAGAAAATGAAGGCAAAAGGACATGGGCACATTTGAGGGATACAGGAAGTAAACCTGACTGAATCTGGTGTTTTTCTAGACACCTGATAACAGCTAGAGACTCCAAATCATATGCAGAATATTGAAGAAACAGGAAAGGCAAAAAAGTTCCTGTTAACGGACATGTTAAGTAAGCATTGAGAGTGAATGGTCAACAGGATTTTGAGTACCACTATTCTCAAGATAAATTCTGAGACATGAAAACCACAGAAATGCTGAGAAGAGTTTTCATGTAATATAAGAATAAATTAAGTAAGATCTATTGGCAGCTCACTGGAGGGACAAGCAGGTGAGACAAAATGTAAATGCTGATTAAGAAATGTACTGTCTTTTATGCAGTGATTCTGACAGCCCTTTGAACCAACTGAGCTGGGGCAATAATTCTTTTCTGCAATTCTGAACCTAATAAGAGGACATCTTAAATAATACATTTCAAAACAAATGCTAGTCTCCACTTCCCTTTATAACTTTTACATTAACAGGAAAAAATAAATCAGAATTAACCAATTTATATGCGAATTTATATGTGAATTCTTTTCAGAAGATCAAGATGAGTCCACATTTTCAATCCAAAAATATTGTTCTGAAAATATTTAAGCAACAATAAACTAAAGGGTTTTGTAAGGAGCTTCACAGTGAATTTTTTTATAAGGGTCAAACCAATTTACTTAAAAAGAATAATGAATTCAGAAGGAACTTGTATTTTCTCCAATTCTGAATTCATGGATTCATTTTATAATCAGCACTTGGAAAGAGCAGTGTGTAAACATATACAATCACGAAACAGTAATATTTAGACAGCATCAAAAAGCTCCAGCGAGCTTTAGTGAAACCGTCATGTGGTGGACATTATGCTAAGTGTTCTCCATGTACTACCTAACTTCACAATGACCACATGAGAGTTCAGTGATGTTCCAGTCTTAGAGATGAGAAAAGGGAGCCAGAAAGAGCCACAGAGACGGGATTCAAATCCAGAAGTCAACTCTCAAATATGATGTATTCTGTCTCCCAACAACTTAAAAGTAAAAACCCAAATCACTTGATAGTTCAGGACTGTAAAGCTTCTGTTTTGTTTAAACCTCTGCTTATTAGGGCACCATCACTAGAAATGTAGAGTAATGTTGAGTTTAATGAAAACAAATTCCCAAGCATAGGAGCCACATTACAATAAGCAGAGCTGCCAAAATGGTAAGATTAAGAAATTGCTACAAGGTTAAATCACTTTATTGAACCCATACTTGCAAGTATTTTTAGTCTAGAATTTGTAATTCTAAGAAAGTTTTATTCCTTCAGAGGTGGTAGTAACAATCCTACAAGTACTTCCATAGGAGATAGATTTATCATCAAAAGTGCTCTTTTCCTTTAAAATATAAATTGTATGAATTTTTTAAAAAGCTTCTGCCATTTTTTATCTACTACTACTTATTCTATTGTCTATTCAAAGACAACTTTAAAACCAAAATGGTCCTTTAGAAGTCATTTACTACAATTCTCATTCTGTAAACAAGGAAACAGAAATACACTAACTTTCTGAAAGACACACAGCTAGTTACTAACACAGCTTCTAAAATGATGCTCTTGCCCAGGTTAGTAACTTTTAGAACTAAAGTAGTTCACAGAATGGTTGGAATAAAATAATAGGTCAGGAAGAGTCTTATTTATCAGACAACTGATCTATTTGCTATATTAGGTGACCTTAAGTACTTAGTATTAGTGAGCTAAGCATATTCAGAGATACAGAGCAATAAAAGTAATATTAAGTAACTTTCTGATCATGGAACTAATAGTCCAATATACTTGGAAAAATGCCCTTTTCCAGACAGCTTTTCAAAACTGCACAATCATTAAGGAAAAGGAGGAAGACTATACGATTTAATAGTATACAACTAAGTATTTTAGTTCATAATTTAACCTGTTTGTTTATAAGACCTATTGAACAAAATTTAAATGAAATGTTTTTCTTCCAAGTAGTTCATTTTATCCAGTAAATGGAAAATGTTTATAGCTTGTAAATTTATTTACAGAACAGATTATCTAGGGAATAAAGAACAACCGACACCATACTCATTTATGTAAATGTCAGTAAATTTTTGTTTGATAGAATACTAGAAGTATTCCTAGTTTTTTCAACAGCAAATTAGGGTCCACACTTGTATCATTTTTACCAAAATACATATATACACACACAAACATACACACACACATTTTAAATGCCTTTGAAAATAGTAACTTATTTTTCATTTTCCATTGAAAAAGATAATACTCTGGAAGTGAGTGCAATCATCATGTCTAAACAAGGAGTTACTAAAGGGTTGTGTAGTAATGAGGAAAAGATCAAAAGGAGGGGGCTGGGGAGGGAGGGAGACAGAGGATGGAAGGGAGAGAGGATGAGAACAAAGGCGTTTGGGTCATTTCTTTATGAGAAGTCACCCTCCAAAATTACTTTCAGTATTTTATCTAAGATCCCTAAATATGAACTTTAATACTTTTTAGTATCTTAGAAAAAACATTTAATGAGTTGAAGTGTGAAAAGTGCTCCGAATGGTATCTGATGCTTCAGCAAAAGTTAGCTTTTATTTCTCTAAAAGAAAACTTTATTGTAAATTTTATCGTATCATGGGAAAATTTCACTATGGATCATGAATCTTTCTATCGGAGACAATGACATGCCAGACAGGTACTTGGAACCCACAGGCAACTCAAACAATGTGCTCCTACTAAAACAGGCCCTCCAACATAAATACTAGTTGTTTAGACTTTTCTGTATACTCGTTACCTGCTTACAGTGAGAAATTACTTCCCCCTCAAAAAAAAAAAAAAAGCTTTCATCACCTTGATAATGGACCTTTCTTACCCTTTAACAGAGTGATGCAATAAAAAGACTACCTTTGACAAGTAGGACACTAACTGAGTTTGCTCCCCTCTCAACATTTCCTTCCCCCAAAGTAAACAGGCTTTCCCATTTTAGGATTTGAGCAATGTCTTTGTTTGCCCACTATAGTGTAGTAAATGAGTTTTAAATTATTTTTATGTTTTGTGGTTAAAGGAAATTTTTAAAAAGTAAATAACCTATTCTTTGTTAATATAAACATTACAGTAATTTTAAAAAATTATATGGAAAAAGGGGTTGGGCCCCAAATCAAGATTTGGAAATTATTACTTACTGCAGGTACCAGTAATTTCTTCACTTCCTCAACGGCTCTCTTCAGTTTGATCTCTGCTCTGTTTTGAGCATCTTCCACAGTGATCAGTACATGTAAATCTTCATTGAGATGCTCCCAATTAGGCTTGCCTCTGTTCTGCTCCTCCTAAAAAATTTGCAAAACACATTACTGATTTTTCTTCTCCAAGAGAGTTTATCTTTCATAATACTAACCTGTTGCCTATTATTTAGGCTATGTTTGATCATTCTGCTATGATGATATTATAAACCTTTTTAATTATTTTCCTCGTAAAAAGGCTGGGTGTGAGACTATGGGGTCAAATGACTGTGAATTCAACAAATATTTATTGAACACCTACATGTGCCAAGCATGGAACTTAATGCTAAACTAAAGATACAATAGTAATATAATAAGCAAGGCTGTCAGATCCCCTACAGTGTTCATATGTACTAAGAAACTTATGGAGTCATCCTTGGGTGATCATGAAAAGCATATTATTTCTTCCATATTTTACTTATGGGGTAAATAGGTCATGAACGCTAACTTAAGTCAGCTGTCAAGGTCACACAGCTAAGGACATGTCAATTTAGGAGCTGAACCAACATTTTCATTCTCAAATTCAGTGATCTTTCCATTTCTGTACAACTACTTTTAATAACACTGGCTGAATCCAAGATTAGGACAGTTATTTTGCACATAGACATTATTGTGTAAGATAAATTCTGTTTAACTATATCAAGTAGTAATTATGGAAACATTTCATTATAATCATTACAAGAAATATATGTTTCCAATAGACCTTGCATTAAAAACAGTGAACTATAAGGTCACTTATTTTTATCAACTCAAAAATGCTAGTGTAACAGAAACATCAATGTTTCATTTCCTTGATGTCTTCACATCACTTAGTGAGGGATACCCCAGTTTGGAAACACAGTCAAGCTACCGGGAGGTTTTGAAGTAGGGTTGGCTACATTTTCCTTTCACCTAAGATATGATAATTTCAGAATTACTTCTTGTTTTTAGTTTTAGAGATAATATATAAACACATTTGTAAGTAATATATAATTCGTAACTAATTTTTAAAAATAAAAAATAAGAATATAAATTTATAAATAAGTAAAAAAAAAAAAGTATGTATAAAAGTACCTGTCTCAGTGCAAGATACCATACATAAGTAATAGATAATAAGTCTGGCTGTACTTTCCTCTTAAACGTCACTATTTACTAAGTTGTGAGATTCTGGGATGGAGTAACTGGGTGATGGGCGTTAAGGAGGACATGTGGATATAATGAGCACTGGGTATTATATGCAACTGATGAATCCCTGAACTCTACCTCTGAAACTAATACTACACTGTATGTTAATTAACTGGATTTAAATAAAATAAAAAAAAAATAAAATGTGAGATTCCAATCAAAGGAGATAAAAAACTGGCATAAAACTTAAATGTTTGCAGATCTCATGCTAGGGAAAATATATGGACCTTAGCCAATAAGGATGGAAATATAGTTTATGGTCAAGTATTATGTTTCTGCTGTTATTCTCTGTTAATATCATCCTAATGTTTGCTAATCTGAATGGTGCCCAAGAAAAATAGAGATCCTATTAATAAATGATGTGAATAAAAATTAAATTATCAATAAAATTTATTTTTCACTTTAAGTTGTTTTGATGTAAGTACTAATGAGGTTGTTTGGAAGTAACTATTTAATAAAAATCCTATTAAGTGTTTCCTTTTGTTTAGGGGACAGACACCATGAAAAGTAAGAAACTAGGGCATCAATGAGTTAAAATTTGAGAACCTTAGGGTTCTCTGTATGCCAAAGAACATAAAATGTATATACACATACCTCTACTGTGGCAAGGAAATCAATTTTTAAATACAGATTTTAATTTTTATGTTCAAAATGTTAATTTTCTTTTCCACCAGAATTTGTACTTTTTTTAATTTTGGTAGACAGAGCTAATAAAATGACATATTTTTTGATGAACGTAAAAAAATATGCCTATATTCGTGAATAAGAGACTTCTGCTTCCAGCCAAGATAAAAATAACATGAACAAGACTCACTCTCCTGCCTGAAACAACCAAAAAAAGGGGGGGCGGCAAACATTAGAAATGCCAGTTCTTAAGCCTCTGAATATCAGGTAATGAAGACAGTGAGGCTGAGAGATGGCAAATCAATGAAGTCAACCCCAGGATTACCTCAGGTCTCTAGCTTGGGAGTCTCCAGGCTGCAGCCCAGGGAACGGTGCCAGGCTGCCTCTCTGCGTTAGCCTGACTAACCTAAAGATCCAGGAAGACCAACTCGCTAGAGTTCAGAGAAGAGAACTAGAAAGAGCTCTACTGAAACAATTCTAGAGATCTGCACAAGGTCCACTCAAACACTCTTGAACACTAGTCAGTGCATGTGTGGGAGAGAAGATACCAGAGGCTGGAGAAAGAATCAGCCACAGGATTCAAGGCCGAAGCACTGGGTCCTCACAGACAGCCAGACTGAAAGACTTCACGATTCACGGACACTGGGTAAAACGAACAGAAGGTCTTGCCTCAGTAATGCGAAGTAATTAAACCTGGTCTGACCATGTTCTGGTACTGCCTAAATAAATCTTAAAAGCAAGACCTAAAAGGATGAAAAGTGTTTCCAACTGTCCCAGAACAAAGGCCGAGAACACTTAAAAGAATAGTAAACATCCACCCAAAAACGTAAAAGTCACACTATTTGGCATCTAATCAGAAACTGACAGGCATGCAAAGAAGCAGGAAAATGTAACATAAATAAGAAGAAAAACCAATCAATCAAACTAACCTAGAATTGTTGTAATTAGTAGACGAAGACACTAAAAGCGTGTATGTGTGCACGCATGTGTGTGCACACACACGTGAGACATGGGTACAGATACTAATATAGATATTAATACAATGATAACTGAGGAACATTAATAATACAAAAAATTTAGAAAGATGTAAAAATAAAAACTAAAACCATAAATGACTTACCACAGAAACCTTTATACATGGAAAGACAAAAAGCCAAAGGATTTGAAAAGGAAGAGGTATTATTTGCATCACAGGAACAGAGAATAAAGTTAAAGTATAATTTGACATTGTGCTTTACTGAATTTATTGAATAAACTTTTAAGTTTGAAAACATCTTGGTAAATGTATATTCTTAATTCAGTAACTGAAGTGCCAGTTAAAAACTGAAAATAAAAGAGAAGTTATACCTATCCTAATGTTTGCTTCAAAATGAAGGGTTTTGCTCAGTTTTAAAACACTTAGAACAAAAACTTGTAGACAAAGATAAAGATGATGAAATTATTGTAATCATGCACTTTCACTCCCTCCTCTAAAATTCTAGAATACTGTAGAGCTTAAAATGTACAAAACTCATAAGGAAGAAGAAAATGGGAAAGAATACAATTTAGAAACCACAAAGCGTATGGGCTAAGGAATCAGGGATTTAGCTAATCCCAAGTGAAAAGGAACCAATTTCTGCTGTGGACTCCCCCAACCCCATGCCACCCTTTCCTATCCCCCAGGGAAAAAACTTGAGGCAATGGCAGCAATAGTAGTAGTAGCGGTAAAGGTGTGTCTAAGACCAGAAGAAGACTTGCACTAAGGAGCAGCTGATAATCTCTACATCTCCTCTCCCCAGAGAGCTGGCATTCCATAATTCCCAGCAAAAGACAAGAAAAATATTCCTATAGAGTTTCACTTTATAGACCTTTTTTTTTTTTTTTAAAGATTTCAACTTATGTATTTGAAAGAGAGAGAGACAGAGCATGAGCATGAGCATGGAGTAGGAGACAGAGGGTAAAGGAAAGCAGACTCCCTACTGAGCAGGGAACCTGATGCAGGGCTCAATCCCAGGACCCTGGGATCCTGACCTGAGCTGAAGGCAGAGGCTTAATGGACTGAGCCACCCAGCACCCCCAGAACAGGGTTTTGAGGGGCAGTTCATGCGATCACTTATATACCGAGGACTGAGGTGTCCTGTCCAGACTTCTCCCCTACTCTGCATCTAGAGTGAGGGCAGTCAGCCCACAGACGAGGGGAGGGATACTGGAAGACCTTTCTCTGGGAGTCTGACCAGCCCAACAAACAAACAAAAAATAACCCCAAGAAAGCAAATGCTGACCAGAGAGAAGAAAAATTTAAAACTCTGCAGAGCTAAGACAATGAATCCTTGAAACAGATAAAAGATGCTGTTAAGAAAATTCAAAACGTAAAAGGAACTTGAGAAACTAAAAATATGATAGTAGAAATGAAAAACTCGAGAGATTGGAAGATAAAAATTTAGATACTCTCCCTCTAAGTAGCAGCAAAGACACAGGTGGAAAATGGTGAAGAACAGTATAAAAATTAGAGGACTAGTTCAAGAGGTCCGGAATCTAAAAGACCAATGTCTCTTACCAAGAAAAAGAAAAAGGAAGAAGAAAAATCATCAACATCATACATACTTTTAAAATGAAACTGAAGGATAAGAGCTTCCAAATGAAAAGGGCCCACAGGTTTCTCACCACAATGGAAAAGAAAAAGGAGATGAAAACTAAAAAAAAAAAAAAAATCAACTATCAACAACATAAGCACAAAAGGTAGCAGTAAGAAATAAATACCAAAGAATCTCCAGTGGTGGCAAGGGGGACGACCCATGTTTTCACCCTCAGACTTCAAAAAATGGACATTATCAAACTTGATTTTTAAAAAAAGGTTTTAAAAGATCACTACCAAGAAGCCACATTTATCCAATTGTAGTCCATTCTAAACTCAGGTACCTGAGTTAAGCAAACTTCTTCAAAAGTGAGTTTTAAGCCTAATTATTATTCAATACAAACAACTTCTCCCTGTGTTCTTTTTCTGTTTCTGTAATGCATAAAAAGGCAATCTGGACTTGGCAAATACCATAGAAGTCAATAAAACCTATCCATAAATGTTCTCTTTTAGTCATAAAAAATAATAATAAATTATAGCACGATGAGACTACACACTTCTGTATCCAATACCTACATTAAGAATCTACTCCCTAGGGCTGCCTGGGTGGCTCAGTGGGTTAAGCCTCTGCCTTGAGCTCAGGTCATGATCTCAGAATCCTGGGATCGAGTCCTGCATTAGGCTCTCTGCTCGGCAGGGAGCCTGC